ATTCTGGTGGTCGGTCGAGCGTCGAATCAGCGCAGCGTATCCGTGACAACGGGAAAAAACAATTGCCCGCGCAACGTGTGGGCACGCGGCGGCAGCGGCGGGCTCCTGTCGGCGATGTCTTCGGGGAAATGCTCAGCGAAAGTGGCGACCTCTACCTGGCTCGCAGAATCGTGACTGCACGTGACTTCCCTCTTTCTGTCGGTCGGTCTCTTCTCTCTCCTCTCTCTCTCTCTCTCTCTCTCTCTTTCCCGTCTGCTGTCTCTGCCTCCCGCCTCCTCAGTGTTCGTTCTGTGTGCGTGTCTCCGTTCTGCTCCTGCCCTCCCCTGCGTTGTTCTCTCTCGCTACTATGGCTGTCTCTATGGCGTAGGGTCTCTCCTTCTATCGCTGACCTCCTCTCTCAACCTTTTCTCTCGATTCTCTTCTCTCTCCACACTTGTACACCGAATCAGCGCCTGTCTACGAATACTAGCTGCTGTCACTTCTATGAGCTGTTTCGCTGCGTCTGGTGCGGTGAGCGTGTGACGGACGAAGCGGGATGTGATGGGGCCGTAGCTTACGTAACAGGCTCTGCGGTGCCCGCCACCGCAAGAGAAATGTGAGATTATCACGCTCGCCTCGCCCGCGTGCCTTCTACTTCCTCTTCGCTCTCCCTCTCCTTCTCTCGTCTCGTCTCTCTTCTCTGCTTCTCCTCTCTCTCTTTCTTGCTCGCACAGACACGCAGGCCGGCATCAATGATGCGTTCTGCTGCTATGTAAGACATGGGTCTGGGGTACGGCACGCTTCACGAAGGATGCGCTACTGTGCTTCACACAAGAAGTAAGAATAGAGAGCACACGCACAGATGCACGCACGCGCGCAGAATATATGGCACGCAACACGCCACTACACGCACCGTAAACGAAGCGATAACGCTGCCACGTTATATTATCCACGCGATTAGAGGTATGCTGGGATGGTTTTCTCTCAAGCTCCCCCGCCTTCTTCTAACTGATTTTTTTTTTTCACGCTTCTAAATCTGCCCTTGGCATTGCCTCCGTTCAAATTCGTGTTTTTTAGCTGCTCTCTTCTAGCCCTTTGCCTCTCATTCTTCGTCCTACCTCGTCCACTGCAGTCCCCTCCTCCGTCTAATCCACATTACTGCTCTAAAGCTTCTCAAGCCCTCTCTGCCGAACTCCTTTCCTTTTTCCTCCTCTCAGTCGTCTTCACCTGCTCTCTGCCGCTTACTCCTCCACTTCTTCCCTCTCTCCGGCCTCTTTCTTCTCACTCTTCATCCGGCTTCCTTTTCCCGGCCCCCGGCATGAGCGCTTCTCTGCGACTCTCCTCTCCGCCCCGCGGCTTCTCGCGCTTCTCCCTCCGGCTCCCCTTGGCCCCTCATCGCGACTCACCGTCTCGTCTCAGGCATCCCCTGCTCCCTCTCGGCTCCCCCTTCTCGCCTCCGCCACCGGCCTCCCCCTCTGCTCCTCCGCTTTCAACCCATCAGGGATACTTAACTAAACTGGACTGCGACTAGAACGGGGCCACTCTCTCTCTCCAACGTCCCAGCTCGGCGAACTGAGCGAGGCTAACTCCGTAGCAGTCTCCCTCAGCGTTAGACTCGAATATTTTTTACTCGGGCAGTATCCAGTTCGCTAGTAATGACGATTGGTCCTCGAACGAGAAGAGAGCGCAGGCAGCTCGAGCTTTGCCTCTGCCGAACGCGTTGCTAGGGCAACCCGCGGCTGTTTGCTGGCTGTCGTACTGATGTTGTTGTGTGATGTTGGTGATTGGTCCTGATGTGGTGTCGTGATGTGGTGATGTGGTACTGACTGTTGGTGTGTGATGTTGGTGATGTTGTACGTGATGTTGGTGTGTGATGTTGGTGCTGTGGTACTGCATGTTGTTGTGTGATGGTTGTGATGTCAGGCAGCAACGCACCGCCTGCCAGCATCCGCGGAACGTAGACAGGTGTTGTGCCTCACTGCCGCACGACGCACGTGCGAACGCGGTTCGGGTCGCCATTGTTCAAGGCGCGAAGTCGATCGAGTGAAAGCATAACGACAGCGAGATAACAGCGAGCTATTAGCGGCGTTAGAGTGGAACGCAAGAAGGCTACGGTGGAGCGCGCCAGGAAGTCGGGGGTACCATGTTTTCTCCATCGCGACCCTTACACCCCACTCTCCCTCCATAGTCAACCGCCGGCGTGTCTTATGATGTGCATTATAGATATTTTTCTACTGCTGTACTGTGTGATGTACATCTATGTAATAATTATTAATTGCATAAGGCATGTTTTTAGTTGATGTTTCAAGGGCATGGCCCAACTCGGAAGAAGCATTTTGACCTAATATAATTAGTTTAGTCAGTGTATGAAATGTAGTATATGTATGTATGTTATATATATAGTAAAAAACACCGGACACCATAAAAGGAGATAGATTCAATTTAAAGAATATAATAGGTGTCAAAATTTAATTTAATCATAAATAATAAAATATAAACTTTTGACAGCTATTTCTATTTT